GACGTTTGCGCCGACGAGGTTAAAGATTCGTTCGAGGGGTGGGATGAGGTTCTTCGTGATGTAGTAGTCTGCGTCTAGGTCGAGATGGGGATCGTGCAGGAGGGTTTCGGGCGGGACGCAGCGGTCGATGAGCCGGGAACCCGGGGCGCCTGTGACCACGACGTAGGGGACGCGTTCGCCGTACTGGGGCTCGGATCGGGGGTCGGCGATCATTTTCTTCGTGCTGATTAGGGCTCCTGGTGGTGGGAGGCCCCTGTCGCTGTAGGTGCCTAGGCGGACTTCTTTGGCGAAGCAGAAGTCCTGGATCGAGACGCGGCCTTGCATGATTTTTGTGCATTGGGATTGGAAGTAGCGTTTCACTTGGGAGAGGTCTGCGGTGCGGAAGAGGAGTTTGAGGGCTTTTTCTTCGATTTTTTGTTCTGCGGGAGTGCCGTCGCGGCGGACGGTTTCGATGCCTTTGGCGTCGAACTCGGGTTCTTTTTGATCGCGGTGCTCGTATTTGAAGCCCACGTAGCGTTTCTTGGCCAGGAGGACGCATGGGTGGTAGACTTTTTCAAATTTGAGTTTTACCGGGTGTGGGTTTATCGAGGTTACGGCTTTGGCGATTTCTTCGCCGATGGTGAAGGCTTCGTCGCGAGTGCGGCCTTTTAGGTAGACAAAGAGACTGTCTGTGTCGCCGTAGACTACTTCCGCGCCCCAGCGCTCGACAGAGTGGATGAAAGCGATGGCTTTTTCGAGGGTTTCGCGGCCGGATTGGACGATGCTGTCGGCAATTTCGGAGCATGGCATGCGGCCGGAGAATGAGGCAGATGTGTAGCCATAGGTGACGTTGGCGATTAGTTTCAGGGCAAGTTGTCTGTTGTTGAGGAGGCGCTGGAGCGCTTTGTCGTCTTTGTCGATTTTCATGCCGTTCTTGACCATGACTCGCGTTTCGAGGATCTCGGCGAGCATGCGTGCGAGGAGGGATTTGCGTACCTCGGGTTTCGCGTACATCATGCCGTTGGGCGCAATGTTGATCTTGTCTTGGAGTAGTTCCAGCATTCGGGGCTGTCGCTTGTAGTCGGTGAATCCCATCTTGTTCCGACCTCTCCATTGGTGTGCTCGTCCGAGAAATGTCGAGTAGCAGTAGTTGTATGCAATCATGATACTGGGGTACAAGGATTGGAAGTCTAGTACCACGAGAGGGCTGGTGTAGAAGTCGCTTTGAGGCTCCATGACCAAGGGGAGACATTCAAGTGCATTCTGTTGGCCAACTTGTTTCCTGCTTGGGGAGACGAGTATGAAATTTTCTGGTTTGGCAATGCGGAACATCAGAGATTCAACCTTGAATTGAGAGCCACGAGAAAATACTGAGAAGAAGTCGATTCCCAGTAGCCTGGCCTGCTCGCTAGTTCTGGGGATCAACTCATTTGACTCTAGGATCTCGAGATCCATTTGCACACGAGAGACGAAGTATTCGACTACTTTCAGGATGTTGCGAGGCTTTCCACTGCGGTACCATTCTGTGAGATCCTGAAACGAATAGTGCGGGACACGGCGGTGTAGTAGGTGAAAGGCCACATTTTCCTGTGTATACTGCAGCAGGTTTAGCTCGCCTCTCATAGCTCGCCAGATATTGATCATATGCCGTCCAGTCACTCGAATGGAAGAGGTGTGGTTGAATCCCCATCGGTCGGCATCCTTGCCAAATCTTCCATGGGCTTGCGACTTGACTCTAGACAGTTCGTCGCAGATATCAAAGTCATATTTCTTCCTTGCTCGCTCGATCAAGTAGCCCCAGGAGCTATTGTGAACCTCGTAGCCAGTGATGATATCGGGGTCATGCCAACGAACAATGTCTACCACTCTATTAATTAAGTCAAGCTCGGTGGTTTCGTGTTCCCAGTCGAATCTCAAAGCTTTGGATGCCTTGATATCTGGCCTGTCGTCTTCCGCTTGGGATATCATGCCAACATGGACCCCTGGCACTGTACCATTGGCATCAAGGTCCTCATCTTCCGACTGCAGGCACCAGAACACGCATGTGATCTCGTCCTCCTCTGGATTCGGCGACAGCACACCCCGGGTGTTCACGTGCACCTCCAGGCTCATGATGCTCATATACTGTGTCTGGTGCTCGACACTGGTGGATTTCCCTTTTTGTGAATATTTGAAGCCATAGTCATTCTTCTGGGTAGGGCCCTCGATCTGTGACAGGACATTCGCCTTTACTTGCTTCCGCTTGCGAGCTTGGGGCTGAGCAGCGTCTGCCTTTTCCTCGGCTTGAGACTTTTCGAACCATTCGACAACTTCTAAGCGGCTTGGAGGAACAGGGGCAAACTCCCATAACCTAGACGTAGATAACTCCCGCAACTGCTGGTCAACCGCTTCTTGTTCATACTTGTCTCTCGGTGCCGTGTATTCCCCTAGCATAGCCATAGACCGCCCTGACGGATCGAAATCGGGGAGATAGTGTATACCACTGCCTTCTAAGCGAAAATCCCTTCCTGCGTAATCTCTCGCACGGTCAGGTACATCACTCTCGTCGCTGTAGTGCGCTTTTTGATAAACAACAGACGGGTAGTCATAACAATGAGGTGTTGAAGCGACCTCACTAGTACTAGGAGACGAATTTCGCAAGAAGCAAATGCGAGCATTCATAGGCACGTTGAATGCGGCATAAAAATTTGACGCCATTTCCAGGATCTGGGGATCCAGGGCAACATCAGGCCTCGTTACAGTAACTGATGACTGCGGTAGTGATGAGTTGTTCTCCGCTCTGATGTCTTTCGAGATAACTTCTGACTCAGAACTGGTCAAATCTTTTTCTACTTCTCTAAGTTCCTTGGAAGAAGGCACACCGTCCTGGCTGAAGCGCAAGACTGTCATAGGATTATTGGGATCTTTAACAACCGGAAAGTTGAGCCTTCCACTCTGTTCAGGCCTCTTAGGACGGACTGTCGGCTGAGATAAGTTTTCTTGTGAGAGATTGCCCCTTGCAACTGCATCCGAGGTGTTGGCGGCCTCTTCGATTTTGGGGGCTGTAATGTTGAATCGATCTTCAGCCAGCAGAGACTTCCGCGGCCTATCTAGCATTTGCGATGGGGTGTCATCGAAAAATCTCTTCCGCTTGCGCGGATTAATATGGCTGAGCTCTCGGCTTTCGGTTTGTTCGAGCATTCCACCCGAACCTACTTTGCGCGTGGCACTCATTTCGTAGGCATTTAGATCATCGGTAGGATACTCGGGTACGTCCTGGGCTAGGTCGAGGTTATCTCCGTCCTGGTTATCATCTAACGCATCTGCGGCTTCCTGCCCATTGTCCTCCCCGGGTAATACGTCGAAAACATCATCGTCCGAAAGGTATGAATCATCGTCCGAGACAACAGGCCAAGCTGCGCTCTCATCCACGTTTACTTCTGCGTTTGCCGCCGTGTCTGGCTCGACAGGTTGTAGTTGATACTTATCAAAATCGTTCTTGTCCGGAAAGAAATCCTCGACACTCTGCATCGCAGTCTTTACATCCTTGGCCAAGGGCTTCTGCGAAAGTAAATCATCGAATGTTACATTACCACCACCATTCTCTTGCTTCTCCTCATCGACAGTTTGTGCAGCCATTTGGCGATACTCTTCCTCGTGGATCCAGCCACCTCGAGAAGCATCTCTCGGGTTAACAGACAAAGAGACTAGTTCGTTAGGATCAAATGGGCTACTGCCCGGTTCGAGCCCCAGACGCTTCTTCCGCCTGCGTGTCTCATCCTGCCACAAACCTGCCATGCTTGGAACAAGCCGTTCATCAGAAGTCATTTGATTAAAGAGTTCAGTGAAATCCTGGTGTATAGGTCTTTCGCTGATTTCTGAGCGGTTTAAAATGTCCTGAACGCAAATATCGACCTCCAGGGGGCAATGGCTCTGCTTTGGAAAAACAGACTCGTCTAACAAATCGTCGGGTTGTACTGATCGGTCGTGCCAGCGATGGGATAGATCAGTAAGCTCAAAGTATTCCGGGATGGGACTGCGGAACTTGACCTTGCTACACTTCAAATAGGCACATCCGTACAAACTGTAGTCACACATCCACTGCGGAATGAACTGCAGGTGACTTTCGTATGGCTGTAGAGGGCGTTTAAGGATGGCGCCCTGAAGTAGCAAGTCCGCCAGCCTGGTCATGTAAATGGGGCTCATAAGATAGATTTTAAAGTAGAACTTATAGCCCACATGATACCCATAGAAGGGAACACCCTTCACCAGAGTGATGTGGGCGACGAAGGGGATCTTCTTGGCATTTTCGTTGCGATTGTAGCTTACTGCCAATGCGTGATCGATCGAGAGACGGAGACTCCTGAGTGCGGAGTTCACTATAGAGAACTTAGCTGCTTGTACAAATTCATGTAGGTACATCTCTCATCAGACCAACCTTTCTCTGTCTCCAGATCACCGTCATACTCGACATACAAATAAGGAAAGGCGCCATGCACATGGACGCACACCTTCTGGCCAGTCTCCGTGGCCCCAAATATCCTAATTACGGGAACTTTCGATCTATCATTTTTCCCAGCCGCACCATCCCCGTGAGGCAGAGGAGGGTCGAGATCTGACGGAGTTGCTTGGTAGTGGTCCACGCAGTTGAGGCGCACTTGAAAGGGCTCCATAGCTTGATTCTCAAGACAGCGGAAGCTGTCAGCGACCGAACGCGCGAGAAATCCCGAGTCGCGTCATGTCAATTATTCGAGTACCAACAGCATCGCACACTGCTTCGCCGTCAATATCTCTCTTATGACTGCGACGTGTAGGAAGTTGTGGTTGAGTTTACGCGACTGGGTGGCGCGGGTAATACGCCAGGTCACGTGAATGATACGGAACCGTCGTCGTCTTTCATCAGCGCGGAGATAGGAATCATGAACTCGACGTTCACACGCATTTGCTGGTCTTCCCAGAGACACTTGAGTCCTTTGGCAGCGCAATAGCCCTTAATTACTTCTTTCATAATTTGCGCCTGCTGTTCCCTACCATCCGCCATCATGTCTAAAAAGCCCGCCGATGTGGCGTCGAAAGAGCGCAACGAATACATTCCGTCTTTCATTTCGAAAAAGCCGTTCTACATTGACGACGACTCTCAAGCCAATGACTATCTAGAGCATCAACGTCTGCAAAAGTCGACGGCAGAGCAGTCAAAATGGTACGAGCGCGGCAAGCGTGCTGGTCCCGCGGCCACCAAGTACCGGAAAGGCGCCTGTGAGAACTGCGGCGCCATGACCCACAAAACGAAAGAGTGTCTGAGTCGCCCTCGGAAGCACGGTGCCAAATGGACCGGTAAAGATATCCAGGCGGATGAAGTCATACAAGACGTCAACATGGGGTGGGATGCGAAGAGAGATCGGTGGAACGGCTACGATCCGAGCGAATATCGACAAGTGGTGGAGGAATACGAGGAACTTGAGAAATTGAAACGGGTCACAAAACAGGATGGCGATAATGAGGGCAAGGATGGTGAGGGCGATGACGATGAAGATGCGCCCCAGGAGGAAGCCCGCTACGCTGAGGAGTCCGACATGGGAAGACAACAGAGCACCGCCACTCGCAACCTCCGTATCCGAGAAGATACGGCAAAGTATTTGCTGAACTTAGACCTTGATTCAGCCAAGTACGACCCGAAGACACGACGGATGGTTGATATGGGTGCACAGGATGACCAAGCAGCAGCACTTGTTGCCGAGGAGAACTTTGTCCGCGCTTCGGGTGATGCTGCAGAGTTTGAGAAGGCACAAAGATATGCCTGGGAATCGCAGGAACGTGGTGCGCAGAAGGTCCACCTGCAGGCAAACCCCACAGCTGGAGAAGTCATGCGGAAGAAGGAGGAGGCGGAGAGTTTGGCCAAACGTGATGCTCAACGAAAGGCTCTTTTGGAAAAGTATGGTGGTCAAGAGCACCTCGACCCCACACCGCTGCGGGATACAATGGTCGTCGAGAACGAACAGTTTGTCGAATATGACGAAACGGGTGCGATTAAGGGCGCACCAAAGAAGGCGGCCAAATCGAAATATGCTGAAGACATCTTTACGAACAACCACACATGCGTTTGGGGAAGTTGGTGGCACAACTTTGAGTGGGGATATGCCTGCTGCTTTTCTACCGTCAAAAACAGTTACTGTACTGGTGAAGATGGGAAGCGCGCATTCCAGGAAGCGGATCAGCTGCTGATGCTACCTGAGAACGGGGACGATGCTGATGAGCCGTCCGGTGAACATGAGGAAGCTAACGACGGGCATGAAACTATTGACGATGCTCAAACCTCAGAGCAGCCAAAGGATTCATCTAACACCAATACGAAGAAGAGAACGCTCATCGAGGTGCAGTCTGGCATTACCGAGGAAGAAATCGAATCATACAAGCGAAGCCGACTTGCGGCGGACGATCCTATGGCCGCATTCATCGGCAAAGACGACCTTGTATAGCGCTCCTATAAATCTCATAGTTTATCAGATCTGCTATATAGGCGCCTAGTACTTGTCATAGATACCCAATCAAATTGTGCATATCCTGATATCTTCTTTTATAGCTATAAATCTGTTAAGTCTACTCTGTAGTCCCAATATCTGTATAGATTCTTCATCACTATCTGGACTAAGTACGGAGTAGTTAGGTAAATGCATAGATAGCCTTATTGCTCCCGGGCCGTGATGCTCTAGTCCACTAGTAGCTTAGCGCAATGGAGCAACAAAGTGGATCCCGCCGGAGCAAAACAAAAATTACTCTTTGCAGGTATGCAGTCATGTGACAGGCTCACCCTTGAGGCTGTCGGCGAATCACGGGACCAGGGCACAAGCCCTGACAACCACAACTCGCTAAGCGACACCACCCCAGATCCCAGAGCAACTTCGATACGCCCAGCGACGACGACAACGACAACCAGCCCTTCAACGGAATCGCCAGGTAGGTCCATTTTGCGCCCTCACGTGGGATTATTGTCATTTTTCCCCAGGCCGGGAATTTTTTTTTTATCTGGATTTTTCGTCGCTAACAAATTGTGCCATATAGTTCCACATAATTCAAGATGAGTACGTGCCAACGCGATATACCACCGCCCAGTCCGATCTATCGACGAGAACAATATCCAGACTGACATACCGATTCTGTTTACAGCGAAGGGTACCTCCAGCTTCGGAAAGCGCCACAACAAGACTCACACTCTTTGCCGGCGTTGTGGTCAGTATTTTACACTACTCCGAAAATTTATATATATCCTCCGGGCGGAAATTATTATATACGGGATATCTCTACAATCAACGGAACGGGAGAGAAGGAACGGAATAATAAATGACTGCCGGGAGAGATATATATGAAGGTTATCGGGAAACGACCAGATGGGCTAATACGTTCGGATTGAATTCAGGCCGCCGCTCCTTCCACGTCCAGAAGTCGACTTGCTCCAACTGCGGTTACCCTGCCGCTAAGACTCGCAAGTGTACGAATCCTTTTCCCCAAAATCCCACCATCGAAGAACAGCCGCTGGTTCCTTGAAACCTTGGATACGGATTGTATGAAAGTGTTTGGATGAACATATTGGCTTACGAAGTTCGTTTTATACAGTCAACTGGAGCGAGAAGGCCAAGCGCAGAAAGACCACCGGCTCCGGCAGAATGCGTCACCTCAAGGAGGTCCACCGCCGCTTCCACAACGGCTTCCAGGTCGGCACCCCCAAGGGCGCTCGTGGTCCCGAGAACCACTAGATTCCCCCCTTTCGATGACTGTCGCGTTTTCGTTTCGTTCTCGGAGGCTGGAGGCAGGGCTGGTATGACAGGGCCGGTTGGCATTTGACGACGTGAAACGGGTCGCAATGCTAGGGGCAATAAAAAAAGACGCTATTCCCCGTGGAGTTGGTGTTGGGACGGTCTTTTTTTCATATTTGCCGTCATAGCATTTCTTTATTCTAGAGAGAAACAAAAATGGCATATATTGACGACAATGTGAAAGAAAACAAAAGACGCTCGTCTTCTCTCTCTGGGGATGTTATCCTTTTTTTCTGTTTCAAAAGAAAGAAATGAAATGGGAAAGTTCATACAAGATTTTCCTTGTTTTATTTAGGGCTGGCGGATGTCCCATGTCGTGGCAGATGCAGTTTGAGATTATTCGTCCAATGTGATCTGTCTACTTGAATACAATCTACCCTTCGAGGCGTACGATCTGGTTTCTGCGACAACAGGTGTGTTCTTTTTCGATCCAATTGCGACAAAGTTTTTATTTACCCCCGGTCTATTATCTTTTTGCATGCGCGCCTGAACGCCTGAGCATGACATGGAATGATGCAACAACTTTGGTATCTATTCACCTCGCCCGAAGACGCTCACGCCACCATCCCTCTGGACAAAGTATAGAACTTCCTTCTCTTCCCAGTGACTACTGGCCTCGGTGCTGTCATTTTGCCCCCACGCGCCACCTTTGCTGACCCTCAGCACACCGCTGACATCCCTTGCGGCACCCGTTTCAAGGTTTCGGAGCTGCATAACCATGTGCGCCCGATGAGCCGACCCGATAGCAAACGCGGCATGCTCAGTCTCCAGCGGAGTTGCTCCCTGGTGTGCCGATGCGGAAGCATTGTGGATCAACGGGGAGTCTGAAGACACCGTCATGACTGTTGCATGAGCGTACTAGGCGAATAAGCTCGCGGTCAGCGGATATGGTTCCCGTTCAAAGACTGCCTGTGGAGATTCGTAGCATACCTGTTGTAGCCCCATCACCCAATCTCCCATCTCTGTAGCGCCTATGCCCCTGCTCGGGCCCGTAGCGGCTAGTAGCAGATCCGGTTGATCGAGAACCAATAAAACCTCGGGCTCTTCCTGTTCATCTCCGGATGTTGATGATTTCAGGTCATTGATCACCGCCGCAATGTCTTTCTCGAGCGCATCCAAAGCTGCATTCCCATTTCCTGATAGGTGAAGTCGCTTGACTGGCCCGACTTCTCTCGATGTTGGAGGGTTCGGAGGGGCAGCGACTGGCCGAGCGGCGGGTTGCGGTCCTCGCGTGGGAATGGGACCGGGCTGCGACCTGAGAGGCAGGACTGTCCGGGGTAGCACTGTTCCTCGTAGTGAGGCTTGTGATATTGGTGTTTGGGACGAAGTGCTAGGGGGAGCAGCGAAGAGTTCGGAGAGTCCGTCAACGAAGGCGAACTGGCGTTTGTCTGTGAGGCGGGCAAGGTCGAGGCCCTGGTCGGGTCAGTATTGTTGCCAGTTATTTGAGTAAATTGACAGCAGATAGATGAATTTGCGAGGAATTTGAACTACCAAATTCCCCACAAGGCCTGGATAGCCCATAAGACCACATGGAGCGACGTGAAGGATGTTCACAAACATACCAATCTCTTGGCCTCGGACCTCCAAAATTCCCAACCCCGCAGAAAACTCACGAGCACGACCTTTCTCTTTCTCCCATTGTTAGTGTCGCTGAGGCCCGCAACAGCGTCTGACGTCGAAGACGAATTCAGGGCAGCATATAGAAATCGAAGAACTAGCCAATTCCCTGTTGCGCCGAGGACTGAGGATAGGACTGTGAGGGACGACGGCGGCAGAGACGATACGTAGGGAGTGAGGAGGGGTGGGAGGGGCGGTTGGCTAGGCATCGCACTGAGAGCGTCGCAACTGCTCCGTGTTCAAGATTGTACGGTCGGATAGCACTGACGATGTCTCCAAGCAGATGGAGATGACTTCAAGTTCGGGATTGGAAATGTAGAGCACAAAACTGTATTTTTCGTCTACTGTTTTTGTAAATGACGTTGTATGAAATAGGATTTCCTGCGGATTTTTGCGATTGGTCGACAACGGTGCCAAGACAAGTCACTGGATCGATCAATACGGAAGGTGCAGTACTACCTACAACAGATGGTCGTGGTCTTCTCCCTGCTCATCTCTGGGATAACTTCTTTCTCGCCTGCTTGTTATCGTATCCTTCATCGTCTCGCAAGTCTGCTTCGCTTATTCTGGGCTGAGCTACTGAGCTGGCTAGTGTATCAGCAATGAAGCGCTGATCACATCCCCGAGCTCAGTGCTGTACCCGAACTAAATATATTCTAAGCGGTGCTCCTGGGCTAGTATGCTAACTACGCGCCCTCTGCGTGCTGCTAATAGTTCGCTGAGACGGAAATGATCATAGTATTACACTCCGAAACATCCGGCAGAATTCCTCTGCAGGAAGCTCCCAAAGGTCACTCGACAGTTTCATGGACTACAATTCCATTGCGGCATTGTCCTCCGCATCAGGAGATATCTCGGACGCTCTCGCGATTCCAGGCCGTTCACTACATTAGCTTCACGTCACCCGTGCCGATCACTGAGGCATTTTATGCGAACTGCTGAATACCCTACGCTCGTTTCAGGCTAAGTTATGCCGTATGATTGTGATTATCATCTCAGAGCCGTGAGGGGAATGGTCCTTCCTGCCTGATGCGACGCCGTTGATTCCTGAAATTCCAGGAGGAAATTTTCGGCCCGTCACCTGACTGGCTCCCCCACACGAGCCAAAAGTCCATCAGCAATCATCGTCGCACTCGCTGGTCGAGCATCCATCCAGGCCTCGTCCTCTTCTCGCCGATTTATAAATTTAGAGCGTTGGAGCCGTACCCGATAACTTATCGTCCGGCTCCAAAAGCGTTGGGCCCTTAACTGCTTCCGCGCCGATCGTAAGTTGGCCGCCCCATCCATGTCCCTCGCTCCAAGCGTGTTACACTCAGGCACCTCGCTTTTTATCCCAAACCCCACCGGTCTTGGAGACGTTTAAGTGCCTGTTACCCAGACCTCCTGTACATGTATCCATCCATCGCTAAAACTGGAATCTGTGACACTCGACCATCCCTCTTGCTATATTCCAGCCTGTAAAAAGATGTGTCTACAAAAGTACTCATGTTCTTCATACTTCGCCCGACGCATTTGCGGCGCAGATCAATATCGATCACGATTAGCGCTGTAGTTGATGGCTAACAAAGTCTCCCCAGATGACATCAGTTTGGTGTACATATCAGCGCGCACGAGACTTGGGGTACACCAAAATTGACTTTCGACGTTAAATATGGCCAGTACTCGTGATTCTCACTCCTATGCTGTGAGTACCCCATGTAAAGGGGAAGAGGTAATCTATCAAGCTAATTGTGAGCACCTAGTGTGATGAATGCCGGCTCCGGAAGTCCAAGGTAAGCAGCTCCTAAGCAGTTACTCGGCATCTAGCTAAGCTCCATCGCAGTGCTCGAAAGAGAAGCCGACATGCGCACAATGCAAACAGCTGAACAAAGAATGCAATTACAGTCCCAAGGTCACCAGAAGCCCTCTAACACGACAGTAAGTACTTCCACTGCCTGGGGATTCAGTGTCGTCGTCAAACTCCCATTACTCATGGGAACCATTCATTCGCTAATTCTTGCTTAGACACCTGACCTACGTGGAGGAGCGCTTACAGGCCTTTGAAACAGCGTTGTCAAGGTTGTTTCCAGGCGGCGATCTGGATGCCACCGTTCGTTCTTTATTGCACGATCAGGAGGGTCCACCAAAACCTGGATCCTCGAAGTCCTCGTCCCGGCATTCAACCCCTGCAAAAGCTGAGCCGGATCGGGCCGAACCAGCCCCGGAAGCGCTGCCGCAGCAGGCTGATGGATTCGACTGGGCGGAGAACAAAATCACAGTTGGCGACCTGACCGATGGCATGGCAGCCCTGTCCATTAAGCCAGAAGGAGCTGGCTATTTTGGTCAGTGTGTCCGACTGCTTTGCAACACGAATTGCAAATACTAACTGTCTATAATAGGCGCATCTTCAAGCGTTGTGCCGCTCCGAGCGTTGTTGAAGCATGGCTTTGACCTTAACATTCCTGCCAGATCCTCAAAATCAAGTTATAGCATGGAAAGAGTGCCCTTGAAGGCTCAACTGCTCAGCACCGCGCCCTCTGGTCTCGTCGAACAAGCTTTCATGGATGCATTCTTCCTCAACTACCATACCAGCTACCCTTTTGTCCATGAAGGTACGTTCCGAGCGCAGTTTTACGAGCAAGTTCCGCGACCACATGGTCAGGCATGGCAGATTCTATTGAACACGATCTTGGCTTTGGGGGCGTGGAGTATCGGTGACGATAACTCCGACTTGGATATTACATTCTATCAAGAAGCGAGAGGTCATTTACAGCAGGTGTCTGTGTTCGAAACCGGAAACCTCACTCTTGTTCAGGCCTTACTGCTGTTGAGCAACTATGCCCAGAAACGGAACAAGCCCAATACCGGATGGAACTTTCTCGGGTTGGCAGTTAGGATGGCCATGAGTTTGGGCCTCCACAAAGAATTCCCGGGTTGGAAGATCAGCCTTCTTCAGCGCGAGGTTAGGCGGCGTCTGTGGTGGGGAGTTTACATCTTCGATAGTGGTGCGGCCAAGACTTTCGGCCGGCCTATTCTCTTGCCTGAAGACGATGTCATGGACGCGAAACATGTACTCAATATCCATGATGAGGTAAGACTCGACTCTGTGATTATAAACCCTCTATTACGGCCTACAATGTCTGATTTATCCTACAGGCTCTTACGCCCCTCACTACCACTCTACCTCCTGAAGTCAACGAACCAACTCTCTATTCCGGATTAATAGCTCAGGCTAGGTTTCATCTCCTCACCAACAGTGTCTACCAGCGTCTCATCTCAGGCCCAAGTTTGACGCCAGAGGAAACGCTCGGCCTCCAAAGGCCTATGGAGGAATGGTACAATGGCCTTCCTGATTACTTCAAGCAGCCCCCCACACCGATATCGGATGCATTCGCTCTTGTCCGCAATCGGCTAATGTGGCGCGACTGGAACTTGAGGATCCTTCTGTACCGTCCCATTCTTCTTCGTTGGGCATCGCGTCGATGGACGCCAAACTCGGCTCCCGAACCCGAGGATCCGCTTGAGGCGGATTGTAGGAGGCTTTGTCTTCGAAATGCGCGTTTGACAATATCATCGATCGCAGATTTCGTGAATAATCACGTCTGCACGAGGATCGGCGCATGGTACATGTTGTATGTCTCATGGGAAAAAAAGAACCCCTAAATTTTTTCTCTCCTCACATCACTGACATCCATAATAGATACTTCCTGTTTCAAGCTGGTGTAATCCCGATCATCTTGCTTATGACTGACCCAACAAGTACGGACGCCCCCAGCTGGCTCCAGGAGATCGAGTCCACGAAGAAGCTCCTGGTACACCCTTCTCTCAGCAACAACCGCCTTGCGACTCGTTGCTTGGAAGTTGTCAATCGGCTCTGTTCGCCTGCATACACGAGTGCCGCCGCCGATAAGACTGCGGGACAGACAGCACCCATATTAATGCCCTTTTCCGATCAACTCTTCAACGATCCGACCTTTGGTAGCATGTTTCCGGACGTGGACCAGGAGCTCAACCTTGCTGGCATGGACTTCTCGGAATGGGTAAATTTCCCTCCGCAGAATGAGTTTGTCTGATCATCTGTCGATGCCGAGATGAGATGATTTCGGGACTAGAGTCGGTCAGGGCCATACATGAACGTAATGGAGCCTACAGAACAAAAGAGGATTTCACAGCCCGAACTTCATTCCTCGAAGGACCCGTTTCTTAAACTGTCACACAAAAGGGAACCCGCCATTTGATATGCAGGCGGAAAATTGCAAGTGATCTTAAAAGTTATGGACCATCAAGCAACGTCCTCTTCCTCCTGTGCGAAGGGCTTCACGAATTCTGGGTCGACCGTGGGACCATCAATGCCACGCAGTTGAGCCTCGATTCCGACAATACGCTGTTTTTCCTCATGGGCAGCCGTGTCACCAAAGATGAGATCCATATCTTCCAGAGTCTAAACAAGGTAGCCATGTTAGTGACGTCTAAAGGATAGCCAAGGGCAACCCAAGCATACCTTTCCACGGGTCTCTGGGATAAAGAAGAACGTGAACCCGAATGCCAGGAGGCAGAAAGCTGCGAAAAAGATATAGGTACCCCAGGTGATCGAGTCAAGCATATCAGGGGTGACGAGGCCGATGATACTAGGTGCAAATGTCGAGAATGAGTCATGACCATCATGATTAAAAAACTGGATAAAAAACATAGGACTTCCTCAACATACAAGTTACACATCCAAGTAGCGGAAGTTGTGATGGAGATAGCTTTGGAGCGTATGGATAGATTGAAGATTTCCGATGGCAGGACCCATCCGATAGGAGCTATATGCGCATTAGCAAGATCCACTTTAGACCTGAAACATACTAAACAAACCAAAAGAGTATGAGAAGTTGATATCGTAGATATAGATGAACGCGATCCCGGCCCATCCGGCAGACTGATGATGGACTAGATCCGATCCGTAGACCCCAATAATCGCACCCACGATTACCAGTGAGATACAGGTCCCCGTGGCACCGGACATGAGCAAACCTCTTCGACCGACTTTGTCGATCAGGAAAAGCGCAGGGAGGGTGCTAAGGCAATTGATGATCCCGTAGACTCCGGTGGCTAGGAGGGAGCTCTGTTTGGTCGTGTCAGTCTCATCAGCTCCTCCTGAGATAAATAAGATAAGGTTAAAGCGTACGGTGTTTCCATCAAGGCCCAGCTGAGCGAAAATTGTTGGTGCGTAGTAGATTATAGCTGTGGGGGTACTTTAGCTCATATTATGGGTAAGAAAGAGGGAAGGGGAGGAAATGGCATACCGTTACAGCCCATAAACTGCTGAAAGAACATAATACAGCATCCGATCGCTAGGCGCTTGAATCGCGCCCATGTGGTTACGAGTGAGATATACTACATTGTCATAGATGAATTAGAACGATGCTCAATGTTGAATTGGGGGAGGGGGGAAACGAACCTGCGCAGCATGCAGCCTGAACCCAGATAACTCCGGGAACCGTTCTCTAGCGAAACTGTTCTCTAACATGATGGATGCTTTGATCTCGAGGTATTCGTTTGTTAGGTCTGGGTTGTTTGTAGATTGTCGACGTAGCCTGGAAAGTGCCTGGAGAGCTTCGTCGTCTCGTTCTTTCATTAGTAGCCATCTAGGGGAGTCTGGGAAAAAGAGCATCCCCAGGCCGAGTGTAAGGGCTGGGATGATCTGGATGGCTAGTGGTAGACGCCAGGATGCTTCGGATTGGCCGGTGCAGATGCCGTCGGAGGGGATGTCTGTGTAGGGATCAAAGGATGGGGAGGAGGCGGTGCCGCCTGTGTAAGGAATATTGGGGGCGCAGCGGGTGCCCCCGATGTAGTTTGTGCCGTAGTCAATCCAGTAACTGATTAGGATGCCGTTGGTGACGGAGACTGATTGGGTTAGTGGTTGTGAGATGGGACTGGAGTGAGGGGATACTACTCACGTTGTTGGAGAACGACAAGACCACCGCGTATTTCGGGAATGGAGACCTGTTGGGTGAAGGTGAGTACTATGGTTATCGTGTTGAATGTGTGGGAGAAGGTTCATACTTCGGAGATATACAGAGGTACCACCATGGTTAGTTGCCCAACGGCTACGCCTGCGATTGCACGTCCTGTGGCGTGTAAGCGGTAGTCTGGGAAAGGGTATTGGCAATGTCCAAGCAAGGATGCATACCAGCAAAGAGCATTGGTATATTAACGGCACCGCATTGGATGGCGGACCCAACGACGAATACAACGACAGCGGTGATGATGGATAGTTTGCGGCCTATTCGGTCTACGATAGGGCCGTTGATGAGGGAGCCAAACCAAGCAGCTATTGATACAGTGAGTGAGCATTCGTTCATTATGGTGAAATAATTGGCAAAGCAGGACGCGGCATACAGATTAATAGGGTCGACACAAACCACCCCTTGAAGCTGCTGTCCATGTATACTCGAGGGAATCGAGCGCCGAATGATTGCATGGTTATCACACCGGAAACCACGCCCTGATCATAGCCAAAGAGCAGCCCACCTAAGGTGGAGAACTAGTAGATGTTGGATCGGGTCAGAACAATGTCTGGTTCTTCTTGGGTATATGAAAACTCACCGATGCAACGCCCAGCAGGTAGGGGTTTTGGTATATCAAGGCGAAACCGCCATTGGGATTCTGAGTACTGGAGGCCATAGCTGCATACTCCTTCAGAGCTAGACACTGGACGCATAATGAGGACGTAACTGATATTCTAGGATCGTTGTCTTCTTATAATCATGCGCAACTCACCTATGCTAACTTCTCCCACTCGAAGAAGCATCAAGCTAGAACGGAGAGGTGTGCTCCGTCCAATGGAGAGAGAATCCCACGTTCTGACGACGACAGCACCGAGTTTAGAAACAAGTCACGGGAGGAGTCAACTGGAGAGTATCAACAAAGTCGGAGAAGAGTACTCCGCAAAAGGTAGTAAATTCACCCTTGTCATGACAGCAGCATCAGAAGAGGTACCACGGAAAGGTTGATGCGGGGAAATGGATGCTTGGATTGGCGTCGAGAGGAAGCGGAGTTGCTCCGTGGACCCCACCGTGGGGAAGAGGAACCAGGATTCGGGCCATGTTTAGAGTTGTTGACCGAAGATCCCAAGCAAAAGTTCGGTTGGTGTGGGTTGTGCCTTCAGGAAATGTTGATGAGAAGTAGATGATGACTTCTTGTTTGATAGAAAAATCAGATGATGCTTGGCCATCATGTGATGGCCATGGACTGGTTTCAGATCGTCTACGTTTGCCCGAATCAGCACTGTGCACAGCCAGCTTAAGGATCTAGGTACACAGACATCCCAAAAGTCTTATGGATCTACCGGGTAAGCAGCCGAGACCAGGAATAACCAACAGATATTAGTGCGGATACTAATTCACAGACGACTGTATACGACATTCAGCTACTTCTGCCCCCTCCCCTCCCCTCACACATTCAGATCACAGCACGTTGCGTCATAACCTCCCAATGCTACGTGAAGCGGGATGATGACTCAATCACTTGTCGAAGAGGTGGCACAGTCTCCTGTTGTGGCAGTTGTATCTCAAAACAACATGAAATGAGGGGTTGGGTCATCGTATGCACGCCGGGTATATGATGCAACAGTCGCATGTGGGATGCTTATCGGGCAAGCATTTGATAGGCTTTCAAGCAGCCACCATGCAAGACATCCCTGCAGACAAAGGACTGAGGAGGTTTACACAAACAAGATGTAGGACTTGTCATCGATGGTGTCTGGGCTGGTTGATCCCGAGTGGCATGCGGGGAGGCCTTGCGAAACTGTATAAGCACGTTCTGACTGTGATTTTGCAGCTCAGGTATGCCGTGCTTTGCTTGCCCATCGCACTGATGCGTGCGTCATTCAGCAGTTGGGATTAAGAAGGGTAAATGAGTGGTTATATCCCGAGTCTCACAATTTGCACCTAGAGCTGAAGCTAACCCACGCCCACCGAATGCGACGCACAGCACAGACGCTAAAATAGAACAGACAGGCTGTTGGAGCAATTAGGAATACGAGCAAGAAAGCCACAACCTCGCCAAATGCCATACTGATAAACAATACGCTTCTTCGCCAAGCCAAGCACTAGGACAATAGCCTCCGTTTCACCCTGCTGGAAACCAGACTTGCATATTCGATGGAAAGAGCGTAACATATATTATTCGGGG